GGGAAACAACGCGTGGTTGGATGTTTAATTTTAATATCACGTATCCATAAGTCTTAGGAGAGGGGTATAATTTTGCTAAACTGTACCAGTTACACCAAAGGTTCTCCTGACTCTGCAGTGCACACAGTTCACTAATATACAGAAAAATGGACTTTAGGTCCATGTCCCCAAGTCTGAGAACGCAAAAGGTGAGAAGTGCAACCATTACAAGAGAAAGTGGGCTGAGGGCAGCATTTCACGGCGGGGGAGGACCGACTCTCTTGCACTGCATCTCTCTCCAGCTTTCTCCAACCAGACTCTCTCAGCCCTCCTAGGCCCAGGCAGCCCAGGCAGAGGGCAAAAATAAAGACGCCCAGAAAGGATTGAGAGCTCCCACAATATGAGTTATCAAATGAGTCCTAACTCCGTAGAAGAGCAGGAGCCATTTCTAAGTAAGACTCCCCAAATGTTATTTCCTCCAGACCCATGCGTTTCTTTCTTTTTTTTTTTTTTTTTTTTTGGTGAGGAAGATTAGCCCTGAGCTAACATCTATTGGAAATTCTCCCCTTTTGCTGAGGAAGATCTGTGGCCATCTTACTCTACTTTACATGTGGGATGCCTGCCACAGAGTGGCTTGATAAGCGGTGCATAAGTCCACGCCAGGGATCCGAACCTGTGAACCCTGGGCTGCCAAAGCGGACCACCTCAACATAACCACTACGTCATCAGGCCGGCCCCTGGACGAATGCTTTCAATGTGCCATTCTAGAACAGTCAACACGACACATACTCCCAGCCTTTATTGATATCCATTCCAGAGCATCTAGTACGTTAGAACCTATTTCTCCAAAAAGTTTGCTAGCTGACTTAGAATGTGGGTCTTCTCTTCCAACTAGATTGCAAGTTAGATCCAAGGAAGCAGTTGAGTGTTTCCATTCCATTCAGTGCCCACTGCTGGTGGAATGTACGCCCAATGGCTCGGTCTCCTATTTCTAAATGAGCACTTACATGATTTTTACTTTTATAGAATGATGCTGGTGTTCTCATTCCATTTTAGAAACAGTGGAACCCAAAGAAGGAGAACAAACAGATTTACAGCTATTATCTAGAAAATACCTAGGTTTCATAGGAAGAAACATTAATTCATTCTTGCTTAAAACAAGACAGAAGAACCAGCATTTCCTCTAATGGAGACTTTTCTTAGATGTAAGACTTCCTGCACCATCTTATATTCCTACACGCCGAGAGCCAGAGGCCCCTATTCATCCCTCTGTAACGGTGGTGCCTCTCAAAGCCTGTCCTACTGATCTTGAATTCTCACATCTGTCTCTCACTCTCCCCCTCCTTTCTTTTCTGACATGAAACACAGAGCAACAGCGATTCTCACCCAATCCTTCCACGTGCCGTGAGGATTCTTGCTGATGATGGGTTCAAGGCGTTTTAGAAGAGTTTGGCAAGCGTCCTAGGGATTATTTTTTAGTTAAAATTATGATCATCATTTCACGCAAACACCAATTCCTAAACCGCATGATTTGTGCCGTTAACGTGTCTTATTTGAGAGCCCGTGGGCACACGGAGAAGGAGGAGACCAGCCCTGTAGGAGGTGATGTGAGGGCTTCACGGGGTGGGGGGAAGGGTGAGCTGGACTTAAAGACGGGCCCCTGGGAGGGGGAACTGGTAGCCACGCTGAGAGGTCAGAACCTAACAGAAAAACTGTTGGCAAACCACCGGCCACTGTTTTAAACTCAGCACAGGTTTACTTTGTGGGAAAGCCCACCTTGGCAGCGTGCAGCCAGGGGAAAGGCGATGGAATCAGGGCGCAGGGAAGAGCCTTGCGATGGCGCTGGCATGAGGTGCACGTCTGGGTCACAGCTGCCGAGTAACCGCCAGAGGGAAGTGGAAAGACACCGAGACATTTCTGAGTAGAACTGAATCGACCTGCTGACCAGTGAGACGTCAGGAGGGAGGGAGAAAAGAGGGGGCATTTCCAGCTCAGGGGAGCCACTGGGGGCTGCAGCACCGACTGGGCCCGAGATGGGGCTGGTGTCAGGCTGGCGGGGGTGGTGTTACCGAGATGGGTGGGAGGGAGATAAGAGCCGGATTCATTCTCAGCATCTTCTGAGCTCCACCCACGTACTTGGCCCTGATGGGTTAATGATTTGAGACCATTGCCATGATTTTTACCTTCACTGCCAATCCGTTGAGATCCGCCACCAAGGATGCTCCAGAGGTATTTGTATTAGGGACGGTTTCTGTGCTGGTTCCACGCAGGTGGACACTAGACATCGGCATCCTTAATTCACGACTGGCCACCTGGATTTCAGAAGACAGTTTCTTTTCAAGCACTTTG